GAATTTCTTATCCTCATTGTCATGTTTTTCTTCTCCATTTCTTCACACCTAACAAACTTTTTAAAAACAGGGGTCTACAAAAGGAATAAATAACTATTATAGTTTGACATAAGGGTTCATAAAAAACTAAACGTTCACAAATGAAATATTGACAAATCATAATCTTACGAAAAAGAAAAACAAGATTAAGCCATCACGTACAAACAAAATGAAAAACACATCAAGGGAGAAATGACTATCACTTACCCTCCAGGGTGTACTCAAAGATAAAGCATCATCCTGATTAAGATCCCGAGATACAGTGGCACAAAGTTCATCCGAGAGCCATAATATCCACAAATTGTAAGCTCTAATGCTAAGGTCTCCTATAGTCTTATTCAATTCTTCCAATTCAGGGCTTGCACCTTCTCTCACCCCAAGCAAAGCAGCTATGGAAAATGAATTTTGTCTTTTAGAGCCAAGACTTGCTTGTTTCCCTGGACTATCACAGATAGTAGAATCAGATCCAAATCGAGATTGTTTCACCAAAGACGGTAATTTTGCAACTGCAGATGCACTTCCACCAGCCCAATATCTGGGAGAACCAAGTATCAGGGGTATATGTTTAGAATGATTTTGGAATGAAAACAATATTCGTCCAATGAAAAGAGACTTTTCAACAGTAACAGCGCTTGGCGATTCACTATTTTCTGCTGGGGCATATAAACTATCAAGCTCTTTTTTCAGTGTCATCAATACTGAAGATACACATTCATAACATTTACTTTGCAGGTATGGTGCCAGATCCTTCAGTCTTTGAGATGCCTTTGGAGATTCTATGAAACTTAAAAGATCCTCAAGGATGCTCTGACAAGAAACATCAACTGCATCCCTGATTCGACTGACTTCAGGACCAAAGTAAGCATTAAGACAAGAGTGAAATTCACTCTCTTCAGGATGAACTTTAAACCCAGAAGCAACTCCAGTTTTTCTGGCATTCGATTCTAGAAACCAAACACCACCGGCCGTAGAAGGTCTGCTCAAGTACACCTGAACATCATCCAGCTTGGTAAACAACTCACCTACAGCAGAAATTGAGTTTACCACGTCAACAGCACCTGTTAGTTCCCTAAATCTCACGTCAATAATTGCTTTCATCCTGCCAAGAAAAGCAGACTCAAATATCTCATCCCAAAGATCTGAATCATCTTCCAAAACAAGTTCCCGAATCCTACTCCAAGGCAACTCAATCTCCGAGCCAAAAACACTCTTCAGCCATTCTAGACTCCCCTGAAGAACTTGCTTGCTTTCCATCGTCTGCCTTATTGATTTCTCAGCAGAAGCCAAATCCTGGCCACTTCCAATGGCATCAATCAAATTTCTTCCACTTATCTTGCTCACGCACTCTCTCAACCAAGCAAAACAGGTATCAGCAATGTAACGCTTATCAAGCATCACCATGATCGATTCCAGTCTATCTCTGAATGACTTCCAGAGCCTAACTTCCTCGTCAGGATTGGGAATCCCACCAAACAACTGAGATGCCGGAGGAGATCCCAGTATGACTTTGTAAAAAAGGGGCATATCATTCAAAACCTGCAAAAACAACTCACCCACCTGACCCACAGTAACCTGAATTATACCCAACACATCGCACAATACCGAAACCACCAAGGAGGAAGCATCATTAGGACCAGCATTCCCCAAAACTTGCAATATCCACGACTTTCTCGATTCCAAAAACAATCCTAATACCTGTTTTACAAAAAAAAATCAGTTTAAATCGAATCCAGCAACCGTCCAAATCTTAAACTAATTAAGTCCATACAAATCTTTTTTTTAGTCGACTAATCACTCCACAGTTCACACCCACAAATCTAGGCACAAACCCAGAATTCAATGCGAAGAAACTAAATACCTGCTTAGGCTCGAGCTCGTCGATGACGGCGACGGCGGCAAGCGCGTCGGAGTAAGCAGCAATGGCGAGGCCGCGATCGAGCAACCGATCGCGGCTGCGCTGGGAGATCTGCGCCCTGAAGCTCTCAACGATCTGCCACTGGTGCTGGAGCATGGCGAAATTGGAGAGAAACTTCTTCTTCTGGTCATCAGAATCGACGAACAAGTGATGGTGCACGTTTTTGGCACGCACATAGCGCGACGCGGCCTCCAGAAACATCCCTTCGTCGAGGCAGCCCCAGATGTTCTCGGGCGTGTCGGCGAGGTACTTAACGCGGCACGCGGCGCCGTAGGTCCAGGCTCGGGACTGGGAATGGAGCTTGGCTTGGGACTGGGATTGGGAGAGGGAGAGGGAGCGGATGCGACCGTGCACGGTGGTGATGTTGCTGGAGATGCCGTTGCAGGAGGCCTTCATGCGGACGATGGAGTCGGCGGAGTCGATCAGGTCGCGGTACCTATTGCCGACCAGTTGCCTGAGCTCCTCCTTCTTGTCCTCGATCTGCCTCCGCGTCGCCGCCTCAGTCTTCCGGATCTCAGCAATAGGCTTGGTGCGGAACAGGGACTCGGCGTCGCGGCTGCCGAGGTTGGAGATGCGGTGGTCGTCGCCATGGGGCGACGGCGCTGCCGCGGAGGGGTTCGAGACTCGCATTGCGGTGATGGGTTTGGGGGTTTAGTGGATTGGCATTGATCTCTCCGGCGGACGGAGGAGCAAGGATAGTTGAAAATTTGGAAAACGGGAAAAAATAGAAATTCAGGGCGAGTTTCGTAAAGGATAATTTTGCGTGAGACAAAGGTGAACGACGTCGTTTATCATTGAAGAGGAACAGTAAGTAATAGTGTTTTTGCTTGAATTGATTTTCTTAATACTAAACTTTAAATTTAGAACTTACTAAAACAAATTACAGGTTCATTTTCAAGCTTATAGTTCATGATACACCTATTGAATTCATTTTTATTCATGCTCGTTTCAAGATCATTATAAATATTAATTTTTTTATACGTATTTAATATAGCTGTACTACTGTCGATATTAAAAATGATAAAATAAATTTAACTAAATTAATTATCACAAAATGTAAGCTTAATAATTATTAAATTAATTTTAAAGGGATGATATCTATATTTAGATGATTTTGTTTCTAAAATCACCGATAAAAGTTAATGTGATTTTTTTATCTAATACCAAGTTCATTTATCTAAAATCATTTTAACTCAAAATCAACTTTAGATTCAAGTTTAATTCATTATGAAAAATTACTTAATTTTACATAATTGGTGTTTTAAATTCGAGGAATGCAATTTTTTTATTATGTGATCGGAAACAGGAAATATTTTTAAGAACTTATAAATTTAAGTAACTTTGGGACAAACTTCTTGTAAAACTAAACAATATAGAAATCAGACACTATTTAGGAGACAATCAATTTTCAGAGAAAAAAAAATGATGAGAAAGATAAAAATAAAAGACAGAGATGAAGGAAGATTGCCAAATTTTCTTTTTTTATAAAATTAAAACGATACCATTTTAATTAAGATAGATGTTTTCATTAAATATAGAATTTAAATTTCTTCATAAATATTTCATACAAAAAACATATTTCACTACTAAAAAATATCAGTCTTTTAAATTTTTCATCCAAATAAAAGTATTAAGATAATTATTACAAAAATCAACAACTTATTAAGAACTATTTTGATTATAGTTAGTTTTAAATCAATTTATATGGTCAATTTATATTTTCTCTCTCTCTTCTATGTCAGTAAATAAACAGACAACAATGATAAATACATAGTTGCAAGCTTCCAATATACTTTGTGCGAATTTATATGAATAGTTTTTCTTAAAATGTCTTTTACATTAACAATTTATATGGATAATTCGTAGGTAATTTTACAATTAAAAAATATTATGAATAATAATTTCATAACTTAATTTCAAACACTTACAAATATTTGTAAAAAAATTACTCATACTTACCATGATTAGTGGTGTTTTGTTTTTAACTGAAGTGGTGCCTTTTTTAGAATCTTCCGAGAGAAAGTAAAAACAAAGAACCTCTCTAATGCCTAACATATGCTCGGAAAAAAACTTCATTCAAAATATTTTTGGATGAAAAAATAAATATTTTTAATAAAGCAACTTATATATTAAAAACTCACAGAATTTTTATTTTGTAAAAATAATTATGCTTGAAACATGGATCGTACACATGTTATTTAACTAAATTATTGAAAGATAAATGAAATGTTTTTTTTAGTATGTTCTATTGAAATTTTCATCTATTTTCTTACAATGTTTAGATATCAAATTTGTAAAAATTAAATATTAGTTTTGTCTATGTCTTTATTGATTTTGTTCAATTCAGTTTTAATATTTATTTATCTTTTAATTTAGTATTTTTTATCAATTTTGTTTAATTTAATTTTTTTAATAATTTATTTTAAGTGATAAATAAATAATGAATAACATATCACATATTAATTTACTGCTTTTAATTTTTTTTAATTTAATAAAATAATTAAAAAATATATTTACATGTTAATCTAATATTGTATTAAATGATAATGAAAATATCTTAATAAACTAACGTATTTTATATTCAATTTAATTTTTAATAAAACAACTTTATTTTTAATCAAAATTAATTTTTAAATAAATATTATATTGATATTTTTAATAAAATTAATTTATTTATTAAATAATTTTAATTTAGAATTAAAAATAATTTAAAATTAAAATGAAAAATTTAAAAGTAGAGACTAAGTTTAAAATTTTAAAAGATTAAAACTCACGTAAAATATTAAAATCACATCAATTTTTAAATAAAAATGTCATACAATATTATATTAATCAATTATAAAATAAAATTATCAAATTTAAATACATATATATTTTAAAAAATAACTATTTATAGATTTTATTTTCTTTGTTTTTTTATCACAAGAATAATTACAATGTTTTTTTAAGTATGTATTGACATCTCGGTGTCAGAACTATTTATTTTATTTTATTTAAGTTTGAATTTTTTTCAGAATGTGGATGTCATGACGATGATGATAAACCAAATGGCTGAAGAACATGTTATAATTGAAGAAGGGCAAAGGAAAAAGACGAAGAGGAAAACGAAGTTTTGATTCCTCGTCCTGCATGTTCCTGGGTGTATTTTAGGTGATTTCTTTTAACTTCTTAAATCTGAAATTACATTGACTGACTGTGTGAACTGACCGTGCGTAGAAATTAAATCACAACTGCTACTAAGGTTATTATCATTATTATTTTGTGTGTGTTTTGATTAATTGTTTACTAAGTCTTAAAATCAATTGTTGCAGTAAGGAATTTATCAAAGAGTGCATTGCTTCCCCTCCTAGGTCACCAGGCCTTAAAGCTGTGAGTACCTTTTTTACTTTTTGAATTGCTAGGTTTGATGCTGTTCGTCATTTGTAGCTGAACTGAATATGGCGTTAATTTTAGTATATTTTGTTTTTCTTTTGGTAGGCGACAAAGGCTGCCTCAAATGCATGGAAGTCAATGAGTCTTGAAGAGAAGGAAAAGTATGCTAGGCATGCACTTGAAGTGTGGGATGGCTACTTGAGTTCGGGTGCTTCTGCCCCTGAACCCAAGCCAAGGAAACAGGTAATTCTAAGCACATGGGTTGGTTTGTTAATTCATGTCAATAGTTGATGAATCTTGTTAAAGATTAAATACTGCAGACTAAACTGGTAACGAGATGCTATCCAGGTCGCTTATTCAATGTGTTACAGCGCCTCACACCTGAACAGAAGGAATCAGTAAAGAGCATGGGCTTTACTGACTCCTTGGACTTAGATGTCGAACTCTTCGACGCAGTTTGTGTCTTTGGTTATTTGAGAGGTTTGACGCTACTAATTGCAGCTTAGGGATCAGCAGTGTGCATGGCCAGTAACTCCAGAAGATGTGGAGACAGTATTGGGATTATCAGCCAGTGGCAAAGAAGTGGTGAACTCTGGTACAGAAGACTTGATTTCAGATTTGCAGAGCAGTTACAATGCGATGAATCATGGAATTTCAGTGCGACTTTTAGAGGACAGCTTGGCAACTGCCGAGGCTGGAGATGATTTTAAGAGGTTGTTTGTTCTCTATGTGCTGGGAACTCTTCTGTCCCCAACAGCTAAGCAGGATGTTAGCCCATCATTCCTCCACATTTTGACAAATATGGATCTTGTACATCAGTATAACCGGAGTAAATTTGTGCTTGATAGGCTGGTTGGAGAAGTATCGCTCTTCCATAAAGGCAAGCAAAGAGCTGTTGGTGGTTGTCTGTTATTTTTGCATGACCAGTAATAACCATGAAGTGACTTGCATCTATTCTCCATGTCCCTGTCCACTTCAGGAATGTAACTATGTTGGGTCATTTGAACAGTTGGCATTGCATTTCAGCAGTAACCACTGGGATTCTGGAAGACGATTCAAATATAATTATCCATTGGCTATCTCTTTACAAATGGATGAACAATTTCTTATTCTCCAGGCAGAAGAAGATGGGGTTCTCTTTCTCCTCAACAAGGGCACATAAACTAATGGAATAGAGTGATGATAACCTGTATTGGTCCAACCTCATCAAAAGAGAGGTTTGTTTGTGAGATTGTTTCATGTAGGAAAAAAGTTCTCTCAGATTGAAGTCTGTTGCTGAGAATTTTCTTCCCCCCGCTAGATTTTATTCTGATTCCTTTCAGTTTTCTTGTTTCTTCGGGGGAGCTCAATATACATATTTGTATATGGAATTCTATCAGGCACACAGTAGATAGCTCTTGATTTAAGACCTAGATTGTAGATAATTTTTTTAATGATAATGATGTCAATGTTATGTTTTTTTCTCAATATTTGTGGCTTCTATTGTACAGAAAAAAGGCATACCTACTCATTCCCTTTTTGTCTCATTGTGAATCTCCTTTTACACTAGTTAAAAGTTCTAGATTATCGTATTTTTAATAAATTGTAAAACCTACATACTAATTTGGTTATATTATATTTTGTATATCTTGCTCCAACTGATCTAATAATAAATGGTAACACCTTGTAGCCAAATAACAATTTAATTCTTTTACATAAAAATCTTCCGTTGATTTCCTTCTAATAGCGTAAGTTTTTGCAGGATTTGGTCGACAAAATTTATTCTAATTGATAATTCTAAATGGACAAATTGTATACAGAGAAGCATATAATTAATAAACGCAATTGTTAAACGGTATATGATTTGAACCAAAAGTCAAATATGGTACTGAATTCAGATATGAAACCTGCTTTTCTAATTAGGCATTCCAATTATAACAAAAAAGTTATCGTAACCTTATAAATACAAACATGAATTTTATTTCATTTTTTATATTCTTATTGAGACTGTTACCATGGGATTTCTAAGGATTAAGAATTTTCACTCCTTTTTGTCATGCAATAGTTTGTATTTTGTAGAATCAGAATTTAATCTGGCCGAGGTGGTATATGGATTAAGATGCTCCATAATGTTTTGAGCAATGAAAATCTTCATTTGATGCTGTCTTTAGGTACATTTGTCCCATCTGAAGAACAATAACATGCATATAGCTTAAAATAGAACCATGTCGCTACGTGATATGATGAATTTCACTGAAAGTCTAATCTAAAAAGTGTGTAGACATCATCAAGTATCAAATGATGGTCCCTCTGAACAACACGGTGCCCTTCATCACAAGTCTTAAAAAGTTGTAATTTGCAGCCTTTGAGATGCTGGAATATCTGTACTTCCATTTTATTTCCAGTTTATGTTTTATGGTAATTTTGTTTCTGAATAACATCAACTTTTAAGCAAATTCTAATTTTGTTTTTTTAATCAATCAAGATTCATATTTGAGGGGGTTTTCTTTTTTCATTTTTTAAAATGTTGAAGATCACAAATTTACTAGAGATAGACAAATTTACACTTTCAAATCTTATTTTACAAGTTAATTTTCTATAATTATGTTAGACTTAAAGTTTATTTATCAATATAATTTCAGAACATTTAAAAACCTATTTTATTGTTTGTTAAACCTATGTGCATCAACTGTCGAGCCGTCATCTAGCCACTCAAATGTATAGTTTCAGACTCAAAATGTTATACCACAACATATGAGAAAATGCTTTTGGAGATTCATAACAAAATTACAGTAAGTGGATACAAAATTCACTTGATTGAATTAGGTTTGAATTTCATTTTCTTAAGATAAAGTTATTCATAAATTATGGAATTTAGATTAAAATAAAGAGAAGATCAAGATTGTCACGCAGCTTAATTAGGTTAGAGAAGGGAAGGTGGGAAGCAGAAACTGTGAACTTGCTTCTGTATTCCTGATTTCCAATTTATATAATTTATTGATAATTCTTTCCAAGGGATTTCAAATACTACACAAACTTTTGTTTTGTTTATCTATGTTCTTTGTCTGTGTCCATATAAAAACAATACAAAACATGACAAATAATGGTTGTAAAGTAATGTATGGTACTAAAACAAATTGAATTGTAGCTATGAGCAGAAGAAACTGCATTCTGTTCCTCGAAGTGAATGGGATGACAGCAAAATGACAGCCACGTGGAATAATTCTGAGAAAAGAAGTTCCTTTATGAATTAGGAACAAAGGTGCCGACATAGCCAATCCCTACAACAAAGAAGGCAATCGATTGCAGGAAAAGATATATGAAGTAGTGGTTCCTCCCATAGGTAAGATCATAGCATCCACAGAAAAAGAGGTATGCCCCCACTAGAAGTTCCAAGAAATGAAGCCTGTTAATCATAAAAAAACAAGTACTGATGGTGAATAGTGAATGCTAATTATGAAATTACATACTAAGTTGCTTGTAAAATTCTTGCCTTCAAGCAAATACAGACACCAAATTCCCAACCTGAGAAAATAAGCTAAACTCGTGTCCATGTTGTTCAATTCAATCCATGGGACAAAAGATGTAAAACTATGTTAAGAACAACTTTAAGTCTAACTTAATCTTATAAAATCAATTTGTAAGATGATGTTTGTATTTACTTATATATTATTTCTGATTGATGGAGGATTTCAAACAAATCATAAGCTTATGTCAGGTATGAGATTAATAAAAGTAGAGTATTCTCCTTATGTTGGTGTACCTTTCACTAATCTTGATACGAGGCTTTCTTGCTGCTTTGCCACCTGATTTTGTCTTAAGGGCATCTCCCAATTTCTCAGTAACTACCCATTCATTTACTCTCCCTGCCTCTAGCAAACCTGTGAGTGTTGCCTTGGTCCTGTGCATTGACATAACATTTTCAAAGAGTATCCAGAATACGAGTAAGTGGATTGACCTGCACAAGATGTAGATGACAAGTTACTCACAAATCAACTCGAGAAAACCTTGCCTTCAAAAAGTTGCTAACTTATAATGCTTACCTTGGAGTTCCTACTGCATTGAGAAGTGTGATGATAGAAGGTATATACACAGCACCCCACTTAGGAACTTCCACTTCTGGAACTAGAACAGTTGCTGGCATAACCACACAGTAGAATACAAATGTGACCACATGAGCTACGATTTTCCGGACAAAGAAGAAACTATAAATCACATAAAACTTCTTCCAGGTGGAGACTTTCTGCATGGCATGGTAAAAAAGGAATTACAGGAGAAGATGGATAATAATATCATTTGACCTCTTCAAACAAACTATATGGAAATTGAGTTTTACAAGGAAACTGATACCTTGTTTCTCATGATTTCCATTGCCATTTTCTTGAAAAGATTAGCCGGGCCACATGACCACCGGTGCTGCTGATAACGAAAGGCTTTGAAGGTACTTGGCAGTTCACTTTTCACCTAAATTTGTTTAGATAAATTGTTATAGAAAACAAATAATTCAGTATAGGAGAGAAGACTCAACAGAAAGTAGATGTGTTACTGAAATTACTTTCTGTACAATCTTCTTATCTAAAATACTAACTCAAGAAACTCTTTATTACATACAAGACATGCAATTAAAAGATTCATCGTACCTTGAGATCGCTAAGATACACAAATTTCCCTCCTTTGAGGCCAGCTCGCACAGCCAGATCCATATCCTCCACTGTTGTGCGGGCCTTCCATCCACCAGCTTCATTTAATGCTGAAATTCTCCACACACCAGCAGTGCCTGCAACATATCATCTACATTATTCACATGACTGCTTCTACTACCCAATGAAAATATTTGTACTGTTTATTAGGGAAATGATTTACCATTGAAACCGAAGAAGGCATAGGTTGAGGACCCAACTTCCTGCTCCACAAGGAAATGATAGTCCAATGACATCTCTTGCATTCTTGTCATTAAGCATTCATCAGCATTAACTGCCACACTCAAGGTATATTAAAAATGAAGCACAATTAGATAAACCAGATGCAACTTAAGGAATTTTTAACCGAACAGCTATACTTTGACACCAGATGCCAGATCCTTTGCTGGAGAACACCGTTTTTATTTTTGAAGTTTTAAAGTAAGCATGCAGAAAGGAGTTTCATGAGGGTTTAATGAGAAAAAACTTACCAAATTTCCATCGAGCTTGGACAAGTGCAACTTCTGGGTTGTGAACCAGAAATGGTATTGTGCGCCGAAGGAAGTTAGGCTCAGGTTGGAAATCAGCATCAAAGATGGCCACATAATCACACAAGTTCACATAGCTATGCTTCATGCCTTCTTTAAGAGCTCCAGCTTTGTATCCATTTCTGTTCTGTCTAATCTCATACTTTATGTTTATGCCTTTGCTGGCCCATCTCTGGCATTCCAGTTCCACCATTTTCTGAGCGTTTTTGGTTAAAAGAAACAGAAAGGTCATGTGAGCACAAACTAAAAGTCAAGGGTCTAAATGAATTAGTTTTTACACGGATCTTGATAATGTTTTATTTTTCACAAATTGATGATGGCCATTTTTCTTTACCATCTACCTATTAAGAATCAGAAGCACGACTTGCACAATTGTGTTTCAAGAAGCCTTGGATTTTCTGACAGAAAGTAATGTTGTTTTGTGAAGGAAATTTTTCCATGCAAGTTGACCTTGCACATGACTAAAGAGTAAACCTGCTTTCTAGTAGTCCTTAGAGAGTAGAAAGTATCTGAAAATAGGCTTTTGATGACCAAGAAAAAAAAGATCTAGAAATATTTAACATGGTTTAGATAATGAAAGATAAAGGAGCAAATTTTCAGTTAACTTTATTCTAGGGATATGGATGATGTCAACCTTAATGATTGGGTCAGTGGAATCATCAAGAACTTGAATTATAATCCTATCAGAAGGCCATGATATCCCACATGCAGCTCCAATCGATAACTGATACACCTGCAAGCAATGAAACAGTACCCACAAAAAACTTGAGTAAAAGAAAAATTATTTTCCAAGAAACAATGCATTTGAGAGCAATATCACCTTTCTAGAAGAAAGGAATCTGTTAAATGTGATAACTTTTCAGTAGTACCTCTTTCTCATTGTACATAGGAATTTGTACCAAGACCATTGGGTATGCAGAGTTTCCAATCTCAAGGTCATCTCTGAGAGGCTCCCATTTATACTTCTTATCTGGTTTGTACCTAAACAACTTCACAAAGATTATGACTATACCCATATAAACTCGCTCCACAAACAACATAATTGACATGGCTAGGCACAAAGCCACAAGCAATTTCAGCGCTGGAACCACAAGGGGTGTCCTGGTTTGCTGCCAAATCAGACCCATTTGGCTTGCACTGCCATCGTAATGCATGTTTTCAAACGTAGCTGCTGATGAAAGCCGATCCATCTGGTGGCTTTCTGTGGTTTCCTTTGGAGAGACAAATTGCAGTGATGGAATGGTGTGACTATATAGAACAATGTGATATCACTGACTCACTATTTGTGATTGGTCTTGGTGGCTCGATGGCTTTGCGAAAAGAACACGAATTGTTTGTAGTTTTTTTTTCACTTTTGGCCACTCACTCAGTGATTGTTGCTTAGGAGTTACGTTAAGGCAACAAGGAAGAGCAAGAGAGTAGAGTCAGAAGGCACTATTATAGCACAGTACTAACAAAGTAACAATGCATTTACACTGAGCACTAGCTAGAGCAGCTCCATGTGCAAGGTTTTGTGACACCAACCTAACGTATGGTGCAATGTTTTTCAAGCTTTCTCTCTATCTCTCTCTCTTCTTATAGTTTATGAACAATGGGAGAGAGATAGAGAAGAAGGGGATTTGGATGCCTTGAGTAATGACAGAACAAAGTGTGAACTATTATTTATATTCCATAAATTGCAGAGTTTGTATGGAAGGAGAAAAAAATTGCAAAACGATTATGATATGATGAGATGAATGGATTATGGACACAGCTTGCTTGAGAGTTCAAACCAGAAAAGAGTGTCACAATCCAGTGGCGTTTGCAGCTAACAGAATATTGAAATATGGAGCAGTGCTTTCTACAAAGCTACTCATTATTCACTATCACCAAAGTTGAGATTTTGACTATGATTTTTTTTAGGCAACTTCATTTTGGTCATAAAAATAAATTTAATGTTTTAAAAAATTATTCTAAGTGTATGAAATTATTCAGTAAAAGAAATATTTATCTTACTCTTTGGTTTGGTGCTTTTGGCAAGAAGCTTGAAAAATTGTAATTTTTTTTTATTTTGGTTCCTTTTACATGTGCACAATTAGAATGAGTAGAAGGTGTTGTTAAATTAGACAAAGAACAGCCAACAAAAACCATGTACTTGGTGGTTGACATGTCCATGTATTCTATAGGTCTCAAGTTCTATTCACCTTAATTTTGTATCGACAAATTTCATGCTAAAACAGTACACATGAAAATTGACATATATGATGTTTTTGGCACTTTATAAGCATGATAATCAAATTGTATGATAAATTATAATTAATATGGACCATCTGTTTTCTCCAAATGAATTTAATTGAACTTGACGGATTATGACGATGTCATAATTCACATTGAAAGACCACTTGGTATCATCATAAATATATATTAAAACCGCTGTTTAATTCTCTTAATTAAGATGAGAAAAACGTATAAAATGGGAACTTGAAAATTTACTTATAATCTATTCATTTATAATCAAGCTAACTGACTTATAGAAGAAGAAAAATTATCCTTATAAGATATTAATTTCAATCCAAATAAATAATAACTATCCAGATTAAAATTGAACTAGAGGACTATGTTTTTTTTTTTTTTAAAAAATCACTTTTAAAATTTTTAAAAAAATTTTAAACATCTATGTATCAACTAAAAAGAACCATTTAAAATTATAATACAATAATTTTTATTTATAGTTTACATTTCTCGTGTTAAATGTGTTTTTATCTTACGCGCTTATATAAATATTATAGAGGAAGAATAATTTTTAAAGAGTTATTTTTCGTTTATTTTAATTAGTAACTTCCCTTATGAGAAAAAAAAATTATAGTTATTCTAAGTAAGCATTTGGTTCACGGAATCTTCTTTTTACAATTTTAGAATATGTTTCATTAGAACATTTTAAAAAATATATATATTTTTGGATATTCTAAAAAAGTTACATATTTAATTGAACAATTTTTGTTCTCAATCTGAAGGGTGAATGCCATATTTCATAAAAAATAAAAGGAGAGGTGTTCTTTCCAACCTCAGTACAACTTTTATTTTATTTTTTTAAAACTCCTTTTAAAATTTAAAAGGAAACCTAGAAATATATATATGTTCATCTCTACTGTAGCCCCAATTGAAAAAAATCAGAAACACATGCCTTTAAAAAAATTTTCTTTGTAAAGAGTTGAGTCATTGACATATTCACATTCATCTTCAAGGCAAAGGTTCATTCAAGATCTCTTCAATTTCACTTCTTTCTGATGTCATTATGCTTGTGAAAATTAGATAAAATTATATACGACAAAAATTATAAAATGAAAACTCATTATAAAGTCATTTTTTTAAGAAATTGTTTAACAACTGAGTGTTTCTGATTTTTTTCCAGGCCAATTACCAATTCCTTTGATGTCATTATGCTTCTGAATATTAGATAAAATTAGATAAGACAAAAATTATAAAATAAAAACTCATTATAAAATCATTTTTTGTAAGAAATTGTTTAACAGCGAGTATTTCTGAATTTTTTCCAGGTCAATTACCAATTCCTTTATGCTTGTGAAAATTGGATAAAATTACATAAGACAAAAATTATAAGATGAAAACTCATTATAAAATCATTTTTTTGTAAGATTGTTTAACAACAAGTGTTTTTGATTTTTTGAATTGGGGCTACAGGGGGATGACAGAGAAAAGATTGGAGTGAGAAAGAGGAAAGAGAAAGGGTTGAGAGGAATGAGAGAGGTGAGTAAGGGTTTGGGGGTTTCTTCTTTTTTTTTCAGTTTTGAGAATGAAAATTATTAAAATACCCTTAACCTTAAAACTTAGAATCCATGATATATAAGGATATTTTTGTCTACTAAAACCCGGTACACATTGCTAAAATGTACCAGGCGTACGCGTTAGCAAACCCATATATATATATATATATATATATGAACTGATAAAAATATTTTCAAAAATATCTAAAAATAACAGTCTTATTATTGAAATATATATGAGAAACCCCTTAAGTAAGATACTAAAAAAATCTGAAAGGAACATAACTGAATAATATTATTGAAATAAATAATTAAAATAACTTAAACCTTAATGGTTTGCGTATATTATGATTAATATAAACACCACAAAACATGATTAATATGGTAAAAGGTTTTTTTGTTCTTAATAGTTATGTATTCCTAGTAGTAGTAAATAAAAATTTGGGGACATGCTGACGTGTTAGGTCATTGTTTATTGATTATTGTATAGTGGTAATTTGCTTGTTTTATTGTAACTGTTGACACTCTTGGAAAAGAGATTCCAAATTGTGATAATTAATAATTATATGCATTGTTTTAAAAAGCTATGAATTTGGTTATAATCCACATTAATTGCTTTATGATATGAAAGAACTACTTTTTAAAAATTGTGATCAGTGTGTCTACAGTTTGGTTTCTGAAACAGGACGCAACACTTCAACCATAGATTTTCCTTTCTCAACAATACATCACTCGTTAGGGTTAAATTAACAAATTTATTTACATGTATATGACATTAATCAATATTTTTGAAGAAAATTAATGATGTTCTGTTCAAAAATAAAAGAAAAAAATCTTACAAAATAATGTTAAAAAAATAATGTTACAAAATAATGTTAAAAAAATCTTCAAAAAAATATTTGTAATAAAACAGAGGTAACATACACAACCTGAAAATACATTTTAAACTACATAACTTAAAATATTAAATAATGTTAAAAATAAAATAATTTGAAATTATACAAATTAAAATATATTGCTTAATGTTTTAATTTACTGGAATTTACAATTTGAAACATTTTTAATTATTCAATTTAAAATCTTTCCAATGAAATTGTATTTTAACCTGGGCTTGTTTCATTAATGAAAGGTCCAGTTTCTTCTTGCACCTCCATAAGTTTTTTCCTTCATCTTTATATACAGAAATGAAAAAGTTATTTTTGACTTTCAAATTGCGTAATTCAGAAGTATTCTTTTAAAAAATATATTGCTTTTAGATTACATAATTCAATTTTTATTTATTTTTAAATTATGAAATTTTGGACTTTGAGGATTATATTATTTAAAAATATTTTTTAGTTTGAATTGCACAATACAAAAAAGAAAAATAGGAATTTTCTTTTATATGAGATATGCAGGTAGAAGCTGTCATGAAGGGCTTGCTTATATCAACAAGGCTTTTTCTTCTGCAACCCTATAATTTCTAATTGCATCCCATAATTTTAAAATGAGTATTTTATCTTTTATAAGAGTGACTTCCAACTAAATTATTGTAAAAGTCTTTCGATACAAGTTTTTCAGAATATTTTTATCATAATTCATAGAAAAATAATAATTCAAAACACGGTTTTGGGAACAAGCTTTCGTAACACATGAAACACGTTTCAGAACGAGAATAGGAATTTTGAAGCAAACTTTCCAAAAAAAAATATGTGATACTTTTTGGAACAAATTTTCTAAAAATAAAGTTTTCGAGACATACAAGATGCATTCCATAGCAGTATTTATTGAAACATATATAGTTTACTCTCTTTTCTTCTTTCTCTCAGATAATACAACGCCGGTAGCAATAGTGATGTAGTAGTGCAGAGATGAAGAATATTTTAGTCTTTTTACTTTGCGGTAGGGGTGAAGGTAGTAATCATGGGATGAAGAAGGAAAAGACTGACAACAAATGGGCCAGATGTTCTAAATTTCGCCCATCTATTGTAAAATTCAATTTTTACAACAATGTTTAAACTATGAAAAGAAAGAAGGAAAATATTGGATCTAATTATTTATTTAATTTTACAATAATATACAATGTTTTGTATGACAATAAAAGTTGTGTTGTTGCACTATCATAATAAGAATAATAATAATAATAAACATTTGTATTTTGGTTTATATAGATTTAAAAGTGTAATGAGAATGTTAAAGCATACAAAGTTGCTTAAGGATGATAAATAAACCTGTCTGTGTAGTACCTATTGTCCAAATTTATTTCGTTTTAATAGAAATTTTTTGCATTGACAGGATGAGTATGAGTATAAATAATATTGATTTTTTTTATTTAAGTATGGAGATTGGACGATATCTACATATTCATTATATCCTCATTTTTATACTTGTTNCAAGATTGTCACGCAGCTTAATTAGGTTAGAGAAGGGAAGGTGGGAAGCAGAAACTGTGAACTTGCTTCTGTATTCCTGATTTCCAATTTATATAATTTATTGATAATTCTTTCCAAGGGATTTCAAATACTACACAAACTTTTGTTTTGTTTATCTATGTTCTTTGTCTGTGTCCATATAAAAACAATACAAAACATGACAAATAATGGTTGTAAAGTAATGTATGGTACTAAAACAAATTGAATTGTAGCTATGAGCAGAAGAAACTGCATTCTGTTCCTCGAAGTGAATGGGATGACAGCAAAATGACAGCCACGTGGAATAATTCTGAGAAAAGAAGTTCCTTTATGAATTAGGAACAAAGGTGCCGACATAGCCAATCCCTACAACAAAGAAGGCAATCGATTGCAGGAAAAGATATATGAAGTAGTGGTTCCTCCCATAGGTAAGATCATAGCATCCACAGAAAAAGAGGTATGCCCCCACTAGAAGTTCCAAGAAATGAAGCCTGTTAATCATAAAAAAACAAGTAATGAAGGTGAATAGTGAATGCTAATTATGAAATTACATACTAAGTTGCTTGTAAAATTCTTGCCATCAAGCAAATACAGACACCAAATTCCCAACCTGAGAAAATAAGCTAAACTCGTGTCCATGTTGTTCAATTCAATCCATGGGACAAAAGATGTAAAACTATGTTAAGAACAACTTTAAGTCTAACTAAATCTTATAAAATCAATTTGTAAGATGATGTTTGTATATAATTATATATTATTTCTGATTGATGAAGGATTTCAAACAAATCATAAGCTTATGTCAGGTATGAGATTAATAAAAGTAGAGTATTCTCCTTATGTTGGTGTACCTTTCACTAATCTTGATACGAGGCTTTCTTGCTGCTTTGCCACCTGATTTTGTCTTAAGGGCATCTCCCAATTTCTCAGTAACTACCCATTCATTTACTCTCCCTGCCTCTAGCAAACCTGTGAGTGTTGCCTTGGTCCTGTGCATTGACATAACATTTTCAAAGAGTATCCAGAATACGAGTAAGTGGATTGACCTGCACAAGATGTAGATGACAAGTTACTCACAAATCAACTCGAGAAAACCTTGCCTTCAAAAAGTTGCTAACTTATAATGCTTACCTTGGAGTTCCTACTGCATTGAGAAGTGTGATGATAGAAGGTATATACACAGCACCCCACTTAGGAACTTCCACTTCTGGAACTAGAACAGTTGCTGGCATAACCACACAGTAGAATACAAATGTGACCACATGAGCTACGATTTTCCGGACAAAGAAGAAACTATAAATCACATAAAACTTCTTCCAGGTGGAGACTTTCTGCATGGCATGGTAAAAAAGGAATTACAAGAGAAGATGGATAATAATATCATTTGACCTCTTCAAACAAACTATATGGAAATTGAGTTTTACAAGGAAACTGATACCTTGTTTCTCATGATTTCCATTGCCATTTTCTTGAAAAGATTAGCCGGGCCACATGACCACCGGTGCTGCTGATAACGAAAGGCTTTGAAGGTACTTGGCAGTTCACTTTTCACCTAAATTTGTTTAGATAAATTGTTATAGAAAACAAATAATTCAGTATAGGAGAGAAGACTCAACAGAAAGTAGATGTGTTACTGAAATTACTTTCTGTACAATCTTCTTATCTAAAATACTAACTCAAGAAACTCTTTATTACATACAAGACATGCAATTAAAAGATTCATCGTACCTTGAGATCGCTAAGATACACAAATTTCCCTCCTTTGAGGCCAGCTCGCACAGCCAGATCCATATCCTCCACTGTTGTGCGGGCCTTCCATCCACCAGCTTCATTTAATGCTGAAATTCTCCACACACCAGCAGTGCCTGCAACATATCATCTACATTATTCACATGACTGCTTCTACTACCCAATGAAAATATTTGTACTGTTTATTAGGGAAATGATTTACCATTGAAACCGAAGAAGGCATAGGTTGAGGACCCAACTTCCTGCTCCACAAGGAAATGATAGTCCAATGACATCTCTTGCATTCTTGTCATTAAGCATTCATCAGCATTAACTGCCACACTCAAGGTATATTAAAAATGAAGCACAATTAGATAAACCAGATGCAACTTAAGGAATTTTTAACCGAACAGCTATACTTTGACACCAGATGCCAGATCCTTTGCTGGAGAACACCGTTTTTATTTTTGAAGTTTTAAAGTAAGCATGCAGAAAGGAGTTTCATGAGGGTTTAATGAGAAAAAACTTACCAAATTTCCATCGAGCTTGGACAAGTGCAACTTCTGGGTTGTGAACCAGAAATGGTATTGTGCGCCGAAGGAAGTTAGGCTCAGGTTGGAAATCAGCATCAAAGATGGCCACATAATCACACAAGTTCACATAGCTATGCTTCATGCCTTCTTTAAGAGCTCCAGCTTTGTATCCATTTCTGTTCTGTCTAATCTCATACTTTATGTTTATGCCTTTGCTGGCCCATCTCTGGCATTCCAGTTCCACCATTTTCTGAGCGTTTTTGGTTAAAAGAAACAGAAAGGTCATGTGAGCACAAACTAAAAGTCAAGGGTCTAAATGAATTAGTTTTTACACGGATCTTGATAATGTTTTATTTTTCACAAATTGATGATGGCCATTTTTCTTTACCATCTACCTATTAAGAATCAGAAGCACGACTTGCACAATTGTGTTTCAAGAAGCCTTGGATTTTCTGACAGAAAGTAATGTTGTTTTGTGAAGGAAATTTTTCCATGCAAGTTGACCTTGCACATGACTAAAGAGTAAACCTGCTTTCTAGTAGTCCTTAGAGAGTAGAAAGTATCTGAAAATAGGCTTTTGATGACCAAGAAAAAAAAGATCTAGAAATATTTAACATGGTTTAGATAATGAAAGATAAAGGAGCAAATTTTCAGTTAACTTTATTCTAGGGATATGGATGATGTCAACCTTAATGATTGGGTCAGTGGAATCATCAA